TATTACTCTATATGTTCTTAGTGTTGATTTGCTTGGTTTACACTGCAGCAGTGCCTGGGTGTACAGTGAGTATCCACATTAGCAGTAATGCACCTGGTCCCTAAATGAGTGATCTCAGATACACTCAGCAGTGACACCCCTGCTTCTCAGAGTTTGCTGTGCACATCTCCGCCTGCAGGTTGTGACACTGTGTCACCCAGAGCACAGTAGCACACAGCCGAGTCTGACTGTTGGACCGAGGCTTTCTGCAAGTGGAAGGAATTGGATCCTCCATCACATGTAGCTTCAAAACCTCTGCTGCTTCCCTTCTCGTTGGCCTTCGAGACCCTGAAGAGGTGCGATGGACCTTCTCTGGAATACTTCATGTTCCAGAACAGGGCTGGGTACTGTTTGGTTTCATAGGAACATTTCACAGTAACAGAAGTCCCTTCAGAGAGTGTTACTTGACCTTCTGTCTGTGTCACCAAATCTCCACTGGTTTCTCCTAAAAAGAGAAATTAATAACAACAATTCAGTGTGGGTCAGTGTGCATTCTGTCTCATAGGAAAAATTGTGCTTAAAATTTACGTCAGTATCATAGAACAAGACATAAGCTCCAAGTGTCATCCCACTTATGAAACATTTACAAGAGTACAATCACTAGTCCTGGAGAAGAGTTCACTTTTTGAGCCAGTGGTGTGTGTGAATCTTCATTTCTTAAATTAGAAAAGGTTAAGGTCATAGTGAAAAGATGAGTTTGAGCTGAGAATTAAACAGGAAATGCATATGTGTCAGGGAGATGCAATCTTCCCCCCACCCCCATTTTAGGCAATTTGCTAACCTCAGAAGATTGTTGACCTACATTCTCAAAGTCAGTGATGGAGTGTCATTCTGAGCTTCTTTATTTTGCCTAAGACACCTGGTAGCTTTTGAATGGTGCTTCTGTAATTCTGAAGAATAACTGTCATAGGCTTATTTGCACTTTTAATTGTCTTACCTAGGAACTCCATTCCATTCAATTTCTAAGTTTCTTGTGTAGCTAGATTAGGCTATGTGATAGTCCACTGAAGAAATCATACAAACAAGGAATTCAACACATGTTTAGTCACGACCTGATGACTTTGGGTGAAAGAGACAAACTCCTATTATGTTACCCTACACTTAGATAGGTGTCATAAACCTAAAAGATAGCTAACATATACTTCTTAAATTAGTAAATGAAGGAGGCAAGGGGACTGAGAGGAGGGGTGGGAGGGATATGTGTGGTTGGAATATAAATGAAATCAAAAATTAAAAATGTAAAAATTAATAAATGAATGCTGTTTGTTTAAAGGAATGCCACTACTTGAAATAGACATTTATTTCACATTTGAAACATTTATCCTAAGAAACTCAATCTGATAAAAGTTTTGTGAAGAAAAAAATGACAGTTTCATATTATATGTGTATTACTGGAAATATTTGAATATTGTGTTACTCAGTGTTAGAGCACATAGCCTACTATGCATGTGGCTTTGTGGGTCAGTCTCCATCACCTCAAAAATACTAATAATAGTAAAAAAACCCTCTGGTGGTTTGAAAAGAATGGTATATATAGGCTCCTATGTTTGAGTACTTGGTTCTCAGATGATAAACCTAGGAAGAGTTAGGAGGCATGGTCTTGTTACTTTCTCTGCCTTGTGATTGTGTCTCAAGATGGATGATCTCAGCTATTGCTCCAGTACCATGCCCCAGCATCATGCTCTCCATCATTATTGACATGGACTCTAACTCACTGAAATTGTAAGCCCCAAATAAACTCTTTCTTCTGTAAGTTGACTAGGCTGTAATGTCTCTCCACAGAAACATTCAATTAACTAAGACAAGACCATAAAACTTGGATTCCTAGAGAAATACAGAAATTGAAGATATTTAATACCTATGGAATTGAATGGAAATCCCCTTCCCCTGACATGTGACTTGACTTGGTAGGAGAGGTGGCAAAGGCTGCTAAAGAAGACTGAACTGTGCACAGGGCTGAAGCACCACCTTGGAAACATGACTGGTGGTGACCTACCGACCTTTGTGAACTTGACTTTTGATTGTGATTACTTCTGCTGGCATTGCCCTACCGAAATGCCCATCAAAAGTGACATATTGCATATTCTTAAATCGAGATGATGCACATCAGTTAAAATCACTGAAACAGATTTTTATGACATCCCTGTCTCCAAATTTTTTTAGAAAAAAGCAAACCTAGCAATCATCATACAATGATTTATTATTGAATATATACATATACATATATATGCATATACATATACATATATATACACATATATAAAAAACAGAGCTACACTGTATAACATACACTTATGTATTAGAAATTCAAAGTGAAAATTTGGGAAACAAAGTTCATCAACCTTGTTTTCAGAGAATGAAAGGGAATAACATTGAGTTGAAAAACAAGGACAATAGCAAGTTTATTGGTAAATGTGTTGGGGTCCAAATATGATATTTCAGATATAGACCTCAGCTCAATTCCAGGAGCTCTATTCTCCTATTGTTTTTAGGTGTCAGCTGGATACCTCCGGATGGCCTGGCCACAGTGGAAAATGGCTTCTAGTTTGTGTAACAATAGACCTAGGCCTCACACCCATCATGAGAGCTAGTGGGATGTGTCTGGGGATTAATGGGATGTGCCTAAAGACTTGCCATTATGGAATGTCTGAGGACTTGTGCATGTGCTTTCTAAGGCTTTCTATAATCATCTCTAGGGTTAAAAGAAATGTATCGTAGTCAGCCCTATATATGTGATAATAGATGTCTTCTGCCAGTACCTCCGTATTTGGAAAGCTATTTAAGAGGATGCCTGAATAACCCGTCTTCTCCAGTGTGAACTGAGAGCCCTCCTGATATGATATGATGTCTCTGTCTCGACCTTTATGCTGCTGGGTAGCTAGGACTTCCCTGATCCACACTCCCCCACTCAGAGTCAGACCCAGGGGCTGTTCAGCAGGTTCCAAACACAGCCTCAAAGACATCAGTCCAGAATAGATAGGCCCTGTAGCTTAGAGCTGATACAGGATGGATCCAGGTATACATATTTTAAATTTTATTTGAAATTTTACATTTGAGTAGAGATATATTTATTTACATGAATATACTTAAAGGATGTCATAATTTGTCAAATAGTAAATAAAACTGTCTAAAGCTTTGGGTTTTTCCACTTTCTCATTTGTGTATTTATGGAACATTGGAACAGAAGGAGAAATAATACTGCATTGATCACACATGATTCTGTGCCTCAGTTGTACAAGCAGAATTCCTATGAGGTCACAGCTCTTCTTGCTCCAGCCATTCTCAGTGAGATCCAGAAAGGAAGTGCTTTGGTGACAGAGCCTGCTTCCCATGACAGTCTGTCTCAAATTAGCAGACAACATGAGGAATGAGAGGCTGAAGACTTGTTTTTTTCCTCTTCCTTTTTATATTTAAGTTTGTTTCACATGTAAATCCCAGATCCCTACCCCTGCCTTCCTCCCCATTGCTCCCCACCAGGTCCCCCAGTCCTCAACCCAGTCTCTGCTCTGATCCCCACGGAGATGAGGAACTCCATGGTGGATCTCCAGTAACTGTTATTTCATCCAGGGTAGGGTCTAGGCCCTCCTTCAAGAGTCCAGACTAAGAGAGCAGCCCTCATTGTGTGATGGGCACTCTAAGTCTGTTTGGACACCAGGGATAAATAATACCCAAGGCCCCATAGATTACCTAGGCCTCCTCACTGACCCCCACATTCAGGGGGTCTGGGACAATACACTGCTTTCCACACAGACATTAATCTGGGGACCAAGAGTTCCCCTTTGTTCAGGTCAACTGTTTCTGTGGATCTGACTAGCCCATTCTCGATTCCTTTGCCCATCAATTCTCCCTTTCTGACACTGGATTCCAGGAGATCATTTAGAGGCTGCAGACTTGTATGCAGCCCCTTGCAACTGCATAAGATTCCTCATCCCAATTCCCTCTATAAACTTCAAGTGTTCCTCTCCTTACTTTCAGACCCCCACTTCCCATGAGGGAGTGCCTGTCTTTCACTGTTTGAAGTGGTTTCATCTGTTAAGGTCATATTCTGGTCTCTATCCTGCCTTCTGTCTCTTTACTCTGTGCTCCAAATGTAACAAAGTGGCCAAGAGCTGGAGTAAGTATGGCATCCTACTTACCCTTCCAGTTTCTATGGCAACACATTCTGATCAGGATCACTTAATAGGAAGAGGATTCATTTGACCTAACACTGCCAGGTTACAGACCATCATAGCATTGAAGTAACAGCAACAGAAGCCTTAGTTAAGTTGTCATATCAAATCCACCATCAAGAAGAAAGAGCACAGAATGCTTCCATGCCATGCTGTACTCACTGTCTCCATTTCACTCAGTGGGCAGGACGGCTCTGGAAAAAGTGTCCATGGTCAGGCTGCTTCACCTTACAGTGATTATCTAAAACTGCCACAGAGGCTCACAGGCCAGCCTAATCCAAATGAGTCCTTATTGAGATTCTCTTCACGGTGATTCTGCCCTGATCAAGTTGACTGACATCACAGGTGGAGAGTGCATCTGAGGCTCTTGAGGACGTGAGTGCAGCAGTTACACTTCCTAACACAACCTGCAGTCTGAAGCAGGAAAAAGCCCACACGTCTCCCCATAGTGCACACTACATAGGCATACACTGCAGTCATTGTTTATGTGGAACCGAGATGTATCTTCAAGTCTCCTGGAGACAACCAGTCGTTAGAAAACATCAGGGAAGTCTGCAAAACAACCATTAGGGAAGCAAGCATTTCTCCGGAATCATTGCATGGTTTTAGCCTGCTATGTTTCATTTCCTGGAAGCTGTGAGCAAATGCCTATATACTATAGATAGAGGACCAATGACAGACCAAAGTAGTGATTGCAGAGAAGTCCATCCAGGAGAACTAATAATTTTACTTAGGTTTCTTACAGGAGCATGGATGATCAAAAGTCACTCAGCTATAGTCCTCTCCAGCATCTTACAGGTTTGTGTTCAGCTCCCCCTGCAGCCCCAGACACTGTGCACCCAGAGCACTAAAGTACACAGACGAGTCGCTCAGGTTCACAGAGGCTTTCTTCAGGTGGAAGGAAGAGTCGCTCTTGCTAAACTCAGCCTCAAAGCCACTCAAGCCATGAACCATGGGTTCTCTGGAATAATACTTGAGGAGCAACTGAAGGCTGTGACCATGGCGCTGCATGTACCAGAAGAGGTAAGTAGTTCCACCATAGGAATAGTTGCATCTGAGCTCCACTGAGCCTCCTTCGAAGACGGTGACATGGGCATCATCCTGGGACACTGACTGTGCTTGGATGTGTCCTGCGAAATCAATGATAAATCAATAAATGTGATGCGAACTTAATGGAAAAAGAATGTTCTTGCTAAAATTCAAGTGAGAAAAACACTTTTTTGGGTGCATCTACAAATAACAAGGATGTTTTACTCACCAAGGAAAAAACGCATCCCCAGCAACAAGATGAGGACAGCAAGCATGGCAGAGCGCTGCGAAGAATACTTCTGCTGCTTTTCTGGAAAAGATTGGCACATGAAGTTCTAAGTTCTTGAAGACAAAGGCACAAAGTTGACTATACACCTTCCTTGTTAAGATAAAATTCTAATATAAAATAACACTGCAGAAGTGGTCCTGGTGCTGGGAATTTTCTAACCTCTGGCTGTCTTTACTTCTTCACTTAACAGATGTTCTAAGAACTCAGCCAGATGCACGTAACACCTACAGACACAGAAGTGGCTACTATGTGCAACATTGCCCTCTTGCGGCCAGTGCAGGATAAAGACTGTGAAGCAAATCTATGTGTTCTTTTTGTCTAGAGCATACCTCATGTTTCTAAGCTAATCTGTACTGTGTTGACTCCTAACCTAATGAAAAATAGGCCATGCAAAGTGGAAGAGTAATTTTCTTTCGAAAAAGAGATCACATAATAAAACTAGCAAATTTGGAGGCCATTACCATTTGAATATAAAAGCATAAGTTGCAAGCAGCCCTGCTCCCTGAAATAGTCAAAACCGGGAAACTGAATCTTTAAAGTGTGTTTTATTGAATACAGGAAGCCAGGGAAAAAATCTGCCTTACAACCATTTTCTCATTAGTATTTTTGTAGAGATCTAGAACAACAGAAATCAATTTGAAGTTCAGTTTAATCTTCTGGTCAGATGGTTCTTGAATCTGAGATGTCCTTTCCATTTTCCTCCTTCCCCAGTCTCTCTCTCCCTCTCCCCCATTCCTCCATCAACTCTCTTCCCCCACCCTTGCTTAACTGAGAACAAACAAATCTTTAGCAGCATGCTTGCTGCAGATTCCTTCTTACAGAAGAAGTTCACAATGCTCTTGCAACTCATATGTAGAGCACTCTCACTGTGCCCCAACCACAGCCATTACCTTTGCAGACACAGTGAGGTCAAATGCCCTTGACTGGGCTTTATAAGCCTTTGCTGGCAGTGAACATTAAATCAAGGAACATTCTGCTAGCATATAAAGATAATGACTTTGGTGAAATGAAAGAAAAGAAAAAGACATGTAGGAAATAGTAGTCTAAATGTGAATCCTTGCCTTTAAAAATGAAACCAATTCATCAATTTCAAGTAGAATTGTGAAGATTCGATAACTTTAGTTAAGCAGTAATGATAGCAATATGGAGAAAAGACAGAAAAATCCCATCATCACTCAGGTTTGATAATCCTGGGATGACACACCATCAAAAAAATACCCTGGAACGTCTACAGATGGAACTAGGGTGATTAATGGAGGTGCTTATCACACACACACACACACACACACACACACACACACACACACACACACCTTGAAAGAATAAAAGAAAATTTACATGAAACATGGACTCCTAAGGGGGAACAGCAATGAAGCAAAGCACAGAGAAACAGAAACCACGAGAACTTCTTGACCTAGACACATTAGTATCCACCTGTTTTAAGTGGGTGGATGTTGGATAGGCTAATAAAGGTAGTATTGACTGTGACCAATAGCCATGCCATTCTGAAGGAGAAGTTCTTCATCCCCCTTCACCATTAAGACATTTGGGGCTAAAAGAAGATTAGATGTTAAGTCAAAACCAGTGGAGCTGTTAGATAGAGGAGTCATTTTACAATGAGTGAAGGGACCCTGGTCCAGAGGAGATGATATTCTCTGTGTATCCACTTAATAAAAGAGTCATAAAATGCATGGAGCAAAAGCTGAGAACATTAAAATAAGGTAAATCTGCAATCAGAGTTGTAAAGTGCAATGCTCACTTCCTAGTAGCTAATATGACAAGATAAAAAATGGCCTAGATTAGAGCAACTGATTCGACCAAATTGACTCCTGTACTGCCATTACACTCACCAATGCAGTGGATGTTTTATCGGTGGGCAAGCAGTGTTCTCTTAGACAGTTCATACAGTCAGAGAGTTCAAAATACAGCAGTGAACCTGTAGGGATTGAAACTACGTGATTTATTTGCTGGGCAAAAAATAATGTAGAAGTTACATAACAAATGGCAGAATACCGCCAAGTGTTTGGAAATTAAATAACACATTTCAAGTAACCCATTGATACTGATAAGGGTAGAGATAAAATAGAACATTAGAAACTATTGTGAACTGAATTTTGGTAGAGCAAAGCCTACAGATATATTTTGGGTGGGTGTAACTAATACAGTATGTAGATGGAGACATGTCAGGTTTCAGTAGAGAAGGAAAAGGCACGAGAGTCATGATCCATCATTCTTGGAATTTTCCCAATTCATTTTTACTTAAATACTTTATTTAATATTCCTTGATGAGAATACTATGATTGATCCAATCCACTACCAATTATTCCTCAAAGCCTCCTACCTACTTTTTCCTTTCCAACTCCATGTGCTATCTGTGTGTTTGTATGTTTGCTGGTTTTAAAGCAACACCCAATGAGTTCATCTAGTGCTTGTTCCCTGTATGTGCATAGTGTGGTACCATCCCACTGGATAACTTCTTAGGACCCACATCCCCGAAGAAAAGAGATTCTTTCTCTTCCTTTGCAATTATTGAATTAAATATGTAAAATGAATTTCTTGAAACAGAAAATTATCTATTATTAATGCAAGTTTATTCTTTCCTTATGCTCGGTATTAGCATGGTCTATAGATATTTCCTACTTTCAGTCTGTATTTGTCAGTAGAAGGTCATTTTTTTAAAGAATGATGTGAGTTTCATGGTGGGGTTATAGACTCACTTTATGGTTCTTCCCTTTTGATTGTAATGCTTTGAGGCTTATATTTGATGCAATTACTTAGGATCTCGCTTGATACTTGATTTGCTTTTGAAGGAATTTGTTGTTGCTGTTTTGCTTTTCCACTTACTCATTATTCTAGTATTCCTTTTTTCTGATTTTTTGGATTTGTATGATATTCTAATTAAGACAATATTAGTATCAGCAATTTTCATTGTCATTTAAAAAACCAATGATATATATATATATATATATATATATATATACACACACTTTTCTGTAAGTTGTTGGTCAAAAAGGTCACAAAGGCCACTAAAAATTGAAACCCACTCCAATTCTATAGTGTTGAGCTCTATCCACATCACATTGCATTCCTGGGAAGAGGTGAGACAATCTTGAAGAACTCCTCTGAGAATGCATATACAAATGTTCAAGAAAATAACTCATCTTCGACACTCACACAGATACACTTGATATATCAGACACATCTGAAATTGAAATGAAGTTGATTCATAAAATAAAGATCATAGAATTCTTCAGTGTCTTACATTTCAGTTTACATAGCATAATTCATGGAGATCCATGACATGTTAGGTCCTGGCCTAGCAAGTTTCTTACTTGGGAAATCACCATATTGCAATGTTACATTGGAACATTGGGAGGTACTGAAAATAGAATATAAACACTAGAATACACTGAAAAAATAGAAGTTAAAACCACTCTACTGTGCAATTGCCCTGAATGGCACATTTTCTCAGTCCACTCCTCATAATATTTCTACAGTGCAGTGAGGGACACAGATGTAGACACAATTTGACTTAGCAGGAAGAAATGTCCTCCCACCTGCGTATCAATGCCAAGCTGGGTTCCCAAAGTATAGCACTAATTCTCCAGGCCTGAGCACGCAATTTTTTTTCTTTTTGGTTTTACGAGACAGGGTTTCTCTGTATTGTTTGGGAGGCTGTCGATTGATCCAGCCCAACCTCGAACTCCCAGAGATCCACCTGCCTCTGCCTCCCAAGTGCAGGGATTAAAGGCGTGTACCACCAACTACCAACTCTTTTCTTTTTCTTTAAGTAGTGCATTTGCAGTTTATTTTTATTTAAATAACACTTTTTAAATTTATTTTACATACCAATCCCTCCTCTCCTTCCCTCCCCTGCTTTGCCCCATTTACTCCCCTTCCTATCCACTTCTCGATCTTCTTTCAGAAAGAGACAGGCTTCCCATAGGCTTGAGCAAAGCATGACACATCAAGTTGAGGCAGGACCCAGTTCCTCAATTTACCTGAAATATCATCTAGGCAGGGCAGATAATCAAGCATGGGAAATAGGTTACCAAAAGTGAGCTAAGCACCAGGGAGAAGTCCTGCTCTCACTGTCAGAAGTCTTACTGAGAGTCCAAGCTACAGGACAGTAACACACAAGCAAAGGACCTAGTTCAGCACCATGCAGGCTCCCTGACTGTTGGGCCAGTGTCCATGAGCTCCCTCTAGCTGGAGTCAGCTCTCTCTGAGGGTTCCCCCATCTTGACCTCTTGGTTGTGTGCATTTTTCATTTCAAGTTCAAACAAACCTAGGAGAGCAGCATATGTAACAAGGGCCAGTTTTCCTGAATCTTTTCTGGTATGATTGCCACACCAGGAATTTTAGTTTAGATCAGGGATGGATGCTTCTATTAGTCTAGGCTTTTTCATAATTTGACACATGTGCACTGCAAGGCAGCAATGGAGCCAGTGCAAACATCACAAATATATTAACTGGACACAAGATGGTAGTGTTTCAGTGAAGCACTACTGCCTTAAGAGGGAGCATGCTAGAGATCGATTCTCAATAAAGACTAAAGATGAATAGATATAGACATTTTCACAACATGGTGACCCTTGACTGAATACATACTGCATGGGCCTGTAAATCTTACCGGGAATCTGTGACTGTCTGCTCATGGACAGATAAACACACTGTTTTGCTTAATGAACACAGTAACGAATTACATTTTAAACATGAATCTCATTAATAAGCAGGAAAGAATATTAAGCAAGTTCACACAATCTCAGAAGCAAAAAAAAGGTTGTCCTTCAATGTCATAGCCCTATGTAGTAGTCCCACATTTCAGGGCCAATCTGTAGTAAGCTGCATTTGTGGGCCTTCAGTAGGACCCAGCCAACTTGCCAGGTCATACCTGAGAGGGGAGTGTTGATTTAAAAACCGTAGGTAAAGCTGCTTAAGAAAGGGACTGAGACAAAAGACGGAGTTGGGAGGGTAATCCAGCGA